AAGGTAAGAGATAGGTGGTAACATATATAATTATTTCTAACGTGTCTTCTATGAAAATTTACGGTTTTTAGGCTTTTTTTTATTGGGATAATCTCAATCTCATCTTTGATGGCACGTAGACTTGATGCATATATAGCTATAGCTTTCGAGTAGACTTTTTTTATTCGGATAATCTTAGTTTTTATCTTTGATGGTACGTAGACTTGATGCATATATAGTTATAGCTTTTGAGTAGGCTTAAGTGAACATTAGATTAATTGATTGAGTCATTTTTATTTTTTAAGAACAATCGATTTAATCTATTATTTAAGATGATATCAGTACAAGATTTTAAATATCTAAATTCAAATAATTATATTTATTTTTATCAAAATTGTAGGATTTGATAGATTTATATTTGATTAATACTTTTCAACAGGGTAGATTCATGCATGAAGAATTATGTTAAAGTATAAATTAATTTACTGAATTATTTTCTATCAACTTAAACTTTTTGAATAATTGATTCAAATTATTTAAGAAGATTAACATATATATGTGTATATACTATGGATGTAAGCTTTATTGAGTCCAAAATCTAATTAATATATAGTATGTAAATGCTTCTTCCTTCTTTAAGTCCTTTTTTCTTTCTCTAAATTTTTTCAATTAGGGACTTAGAGTCCTAAAATGAATAATTTGTACCTTTTTTCAAATACTATAAATTTCGTATACCTTTTGATGATTGTTATTGATGATCAACTAAAAATTTATAAAACCTATATTGGTTTTATAGTTGAGAGATAATATTATTAATAAGATTATTTTTAACAACAAAGGTTATAATGGCGAGTGAGGAAGTTAGGATAACTGCTAGCCAAAGGGTGGTTAAAAAATCGAAGAGCTTGGTGGATGATACCAAGCTGGGTAACTGGACAACTTATCATGGAAAAAAAATGTTTACGAGGAACAAAGAAAGCTAGAAGGAATAAAAAAAAGAACTTCAAAAACCATGAAAAATAGAGAGAATCAATGTTCTCGGTTTATGTAGGCAATCTTGATTAGAACATCGAGCCTTGACATTTAGAAAAATATTTCTCCAACTTGAAATCAGTAGGAGATATTTTCATATAAAGAAAAATGGTGAAAGCAGGAGGACAAACCTTTGGCTTTGTGAGGTTATAAATATTTCTCCAACTTTTTGCCCTCTTCTCTAATTTATTTTATACTAAGTACAAGGGTTATAAATTGTGTAAAAATAACATTCTCATAGAAAAAACCCTAAAGCACACAGAAGAATAAATTAAGAATCGTCTCTATTTTGATGAGAAGTAGTCAAACAAAAGCTTATACGCTTATTTACATCTATATATGAAACTACAAACCTTAAGTTATTGATTGATTTATATATACATATATATGTCTTTTTTTTTTTCATAGTAATAACTATTGAAATACTGGTTAATTTATTAGATATTAAGTTTATAAATTATTTATTTTCTGTTTTTGATACTAAACAAGAGACTTGCATAGTTAGAAATATTTATATAGCTATATACGACATATTAGATATAATTGTAGCTACTTTGTAGCTTTATCACTTTTAATTTTGCAGGATAAACTTGTTGATGATCAATCTAAACTAAATTAAGTAAATTTTTTATTCTCTTTATAGTAAGTCAGAAAAATAAATGATTATTGAGTTTTATATAATGAATCAGGTTATACACTACTAATGTATTGAGTTTCAAAATTTTTAAGGGTTAGAAGTTTTAGTCTGAAAAATTGTTGGGCTATTAGCCCTTCGGATTTAGAACCTCCTTGCATGTGATGATTAAAGAAACTACAAATGACTTTTTTTATATAAATTTTTGATAGTTCATTTCTACATCGAAAATACATAAAATTATTAAAATTTATATAATGATTCAAGTTATGCGGTATTAATAAATTTGAGTCTAAATTTTTGAGAGTCCAAGTTTTGGGAATGAAAGGTTATTGAGATAGTATTCCTTTAACTTGGAAGTTTGCCAAATTCGTACTTTAGCCTTTATGGTAGTATATGAATATATATATATATATATATGTATTGACTTGAATGGACTTAATGAAGTAGGTGTGGATTAACAAATTCCAACATGTTCGCATTAATTTCAACTGGTTATGCATCCTGTTTACAGAATCCTTATTGATTTTATAAATTGGGCAAGATGATTTTATGCAACACTAAAAAGAGTAGGCCGGGCCGGAAATTAAAACATGGTTGTCATGGAGAGTGTTCATATGTATGTAAAGATATATATAGAGAGAGAGAGAGAGAGAAAAAGAAAAGCTCAGGCCCAACAAAAATCTTTTGTAGGTCTAAAAAATGCAACCTTTGTGGTTTTTTCACATTTCAAAGGAAAAAAAAAAAGGAAAGAAGAAATTTAAAAGAAGATACAGGGCCGCTGAGGTGTTTTTTTAAAAAAATTTTGATCAAGTATATCTAATGTTTGTTGTTATAATTTAGCATATATATATATATTTAATACATATATATATATATATATAATTCGGATAGAGTTAGGTTAGGTTTCACTAGAAAGTAAAATTCCCTAGAAAGTAAAAATCAGTCGGCTGGAAATTAAAATAAATTTAATGGACCAGCCCCAAACTTGAGCTGAATTGAGTTTTGTTTATCTAAAACCATTTCAGTCATTTAGATTCTTGGTTAATCAAATCTATAAAAGCTGACTTAAGTATTCAAATCTTTAAAAATCTGACCCAAGAAATTTATAATATATCTGAAATACTGACTTAAGAATATCTTGAATCAAGGAGACAAGCAAAACTTAATAAAATTTCTAGAACATAATTCCTGCAATTGCTCTTGTAACTAAAACTTATTAGTGCATGGTTCAATCTTTTTAATATAAAATTGATTAATTATATATATATATATACATATTCAATTTGGTACTAATTCACAGATATATGAATAGGGTATTAAAATTTTTTCGACAAAAATGGGAAAGTAATTTAATTTACAGTCTCCAAGCAGAAAAAGTTTGTAGATTTTTGTACTATGAGCACAGACCATGGTTTGTCCATACATGTGGCTAAGGTATTTCCACCCTTCCTCTTAGGCCAGGGCCACTGTCCTCTCTTCTTTGGTGCCATTACTTCTTTACACATGGGCAAAGCACAAACGAGGCCCCTCCCTTTCTCCTCTTTGGTGTCCCATTAATCTTTTACAGATGGGCAAAGCATTAACCACAAGTACTTCAAAATCTACTAGGACGGTCAAAAGAGAGATCAATTTATTTCATCTAGACCTGTTTCAATCATTAAAAAGCTTAAGTAGTGCGGGAGATAAAATCTTTAATAGTCTAAACACATACCCAGATAACCTTTTCTTTTAATCACACCACCTACTGAATTCCTGGCATGTTTTTGCATTGAAATAATGTTGTCCTCTCTCTCTCTCTCTCTCTCTCTATATATATATATATATATATAGACGCCGATATCAAGAGGGTTTTTGTTTTCCAGTCCTCCTCTTTTCCTTCTGGTGGGACTAAGGATGAAGAGACACTGCATGTCTTTGCTTGGCTGTGCAGATGGAATGTGTCCAAGCATAGATTTGAACGTTTTATGTGAAACCCATTAATGATTAAATGTACATAAATAGGGTTTTGTCGAATGTACTTACAATGCAATTAGAAATATGGGTCCTTCTTTCTTTCTCTCTCTGTACGTTCCTGCAGAGAAAGTACCCATCTCACATATGGTTACAGCTTTGGAAATCATGAGCCGAAAAACGTTTTCAAGAAGAAAAAAATTTCCAGGACAATACTTATTATTGTACGGCGGTTTGATGCTTTAGGTTCAAGTTGTATTTTAGGAATCCAATTTGGTTTGTACTATTTGCTTTGAAAAAGAAAATTAGAAACTTATAATTGTACTAGGATTGAGTCATTCTTTTATCAGTTTAACCTTTCAGATAATTGGTTCAATTAATTTCATTTTTATCAGTTTAATCTGTACATGATTCATCGTTTCAGCTTAATTAATTTATGTATAACGAAACATATTATAATTTATATAATTGATTGAGTTATTTCTTATTAGTTTAATAAATTTAATTTTAATTTAATGAATATTCACTTATCAACAAACGTAATAAAATATAAATAATTAATTGAATAATATTTTATCAGTTTATCTTTCAGTATAATCAATTCAATAAATTACTTACGGAAATTAACAAATAATAATCTAACCCCTAAAAATTAGAGTTGCGTGATTAAAGACTAAATCCCTGAAATAAACGAAAAAGAATTTCTGCTCTAAGTGAAAAAATTAATCTATTAATTCTTTTGGGTGGCGGCATATGATAAATATATGCAAGCATGTCATCTTTATCATTACAACTTTGATATTCTCTTTCTTTCAACGTTGCAGGTTTAGGTTTGAGGTTTTTCCGCCCAAGCCTTCCATCCCTTCTTAATTTCTTTCTTTCAAACTCTGCCTATATTATAAACTGATTGACTGAATCTATTAACTTGAAGATTCATGAATAACATTTCAAGTTTATCACAATCACAAGAGTATATATTCTCTTAGCTTTTACTTTTAACTCATATATTCTCATGCATCTATAATATATAAATATACATATATGTATTTGCATGCTTCACGTTTATAACTTTCATGCAGTGGCGGCTGCCCGGACCTGTATAAAAAGCCACCACCACAAACACCCGAAACCACAAGCATTTGGAGATTAAGTATAAGCACTTATGGCTCTTAATCCTGTGTATTTTGTGTTGAAACTGCTAGTCCTGGTAAGCTTCTTGGCTCTCACTGAGCAAAGAAAGCTATCTGATCGAAGCTATAATAACTTGCAGCTTCCTAGGTCGCCATGGTCAAGATGTAACGATCCAGAAAATAACTTCAGGCGTGAATGTTTTCCCGACGATTTCATTTTTGGCACTGCCTCAGCGTCCTACCAGGTATAAATTTCTTTTTAGACTCAAAATCTATATATTGATCAATAATTAATATATAAATACCAATCATAATATAACATATTATAAATAGTGATGAGTAGAAGGTATATAAGTATATATAGCTAGAGCTAGCGTATATATATATATGTGTGCGTGTGTATAAATATATTACATCCTCTGGATATGTGATCAGCCGCATGCAACGACGTACATGAATATATTTTGCACATTCAATTAAATGCATAATATTCTTCCACTAATGATCAATGGAATTAAGTGGACTGACTCTTTTTCCCTTATTATACATAACTTTTTTTACAAATATTATATATGTGTACAAATGTGTATATAACACTCCGCGTACGTCCTGTGATTTCAGTATGAAGGGGCAGTACTGGAAGGTGGCAGAAATTCGAGTATTTGGGACTATTTTTCACACAAATATCCAGGTTTGATCTCTCTATCATCTCAGTCTCATACATATGTCAGTAACATTAATATTAAATAACAAAACTATTTCAACATTTAAAAAGAATTAATGAATTATATATCTTTTTAACCTTGCAGAAAGAACCAACTGCGGTAATGGAGATATAGCACTTGATTTTTATCACCGTTATAAGGTATATACATATATATGTGTGTGGTTTCTTTGATATGATATTTGATTTGCAATTTCCATCTCTAAGTACATTTAAGTTTAAGATAATTCCAAAAATATGCAGGAAGATATCCAATTAATGAAGGATTTAAACATGAATGGCTTTCGATTCTCAATCTCGTGGTCTAGAATATTACCCGGTAAGCATAGTTAACTACAACTATTTCCGAGGCGATAGTGCAAATAATAGTCATCCCAATTTGAACTCATAATTACTTGTTATTCTTTTTCTTTTTCTGAATTTATATATGTACATATATTTAGGTGGAAAATTAAGCAAAGGAGTAAATAGAGAAGGAGTTCAATTCTACAAGGACCTCATTAATGACCTCATAGAAAACGGTGAGAATTCCAAGTTCTCGATCCCAAAATTTTAAATTATAATTTGATATATATTGATATCTTTAATTTGAAGTATGTATGTGAACACAATATGCAGGACTTTCCCCTATGGCCACTATCTTTCATTGGGATCTTCCCCTGGTTCTCGAGGAGGAGTATAAAGGTTTTTTAAATCGTAGTATTGTGTAAGTTTAAATTATTATTAAATTTCAATTCAATTTACTAAACAACTAAATGATTGATATATCTATTTCTACATAAGATATTGTAAATTCGAATCAAATTTATTTTTATGTATCATTATTTAGAGGTTATGTTTTGTTGTATTTTGATTAATGTCTATATATGTCCTAATTATTTAATGCATAAATTTTTATTAAAAAAAATTTAATTCTCGGGGGAAGAAAATAGTTCTTTTTTTTATTAAGTGTTTACTAAACCTAAATAAATATTTTAGTTAATAATGTGTTTATATCGTTTTTAGCTTTCGTGATAGTTCAACATACTTTTTGGTATCAATATAAGCTACAAAACAAAAGTATTTTGTGTCAAATCTAATGAGTGATATATATTAATTAAGTGATTTGCCATGAATATATAGGAAAGATTTTCGAGATTTTGCACGTGTTTGCTTCTACGAATTTGGTGACAAGGTAAAGCTATGGTCCACTTTCAACGAGCCATGGGTTTATAGTGTTGCTGGCTATGATAGAGGGATTAAAGCTCCTGGGCGATGCTCAAAATGGAAGAATAGTGCCTGCCAAGAAGGAGATTCGGGAACAGAGCCTTATATTGTCACTCATAATCTACTTCTCGCCCATGCCGCTGCCGTAAAAGAGTTCAGAAATTGTAAAAAGGTATGCGGAATTGTAAAAAATCTAGAAGCAATTTAAGAAAAAAAATGAAAGAATTAAGCAAAATAATTTGGAATTAAGCTTATATAATTACTTATCAACTTATATAAATGTGTATAAAAAAGCATTTTTAGCTAATATTTGTATTTAATTATTATAATCGTAATAATAGTTTATGAAATTGGATAGTGTCAAGATGGCAAGATAGGAATAGTGCTTTCCCCACCTTGGTTTGAACCTCATTCTGAAGATTCAATTGAAGATCAGGAAGCAGTTGTAAGGACCCTTGATTTTTTGGTGGGCTGGTAAGAGATTCTAGAACAAGTATGATATATATTGTTTAGGTAAATCTTTATAAGAAATGTTTTTGAATAATCAAAAAATTTATTTTTTTGTAGGCATCTTAGTCCTCTAACATTCGGCGATTATCCAGAAAGCATGAAAAATTTCGTTGGGGATCGATTGCCTAGTTTCACCCAAAAGGAGTCAAAAAATCTAAAAAAATATTCTTACGATTACGTTGGAATAAATTATTACGGTTCTTTCTATGCTAAAAATGTTCCTTGTATTGATCTTGAAAAGGCTAGTTACATGACAGATCAACATGTCGATTGGATAAGTGAGTTTAGAGTACAACTTGATGAATTTTAATTATAAGTGATTTAATAATATTTTATGATTTATTTTATTAGTATGTTGGTGTAATGTACTGATATAAGTTGAGTATTATGCTAATGAATCATGACATTTTTTTTCCAGATAAAAATAACATCTTATAGTGGTTAAGTTATTTTATTTGAGATAACCACAATAAATAAAACCTAGTCTAGCCTGTTTGAATTAAAAAAAAAAAATATTATGGCGTTGGCCATTGCCATCTTTTCCCCAACAAAGTACTTATGTTAATATTTGTTATTTTTTATAATTTTTTTTTACTTTCAGAGGAACGAGATGACATCCTTATTGGTAAACAGGTATGAGTTAAAAAACCTCCATGATTATTGAATTAATATACATAAAATTAAAAAAATTCAAGTCCTAAAACTTGTTAACATATTTAATTTATCCGTGCTAATATAATTTGCGTAACGATTTCTATATTTTTCAGAGCGGCTCCGACAATATTCTATCATATCCTATCGGCATAAGGAAGATTGTGAATTATATCAAGCATAATTATAACAATCCAAGTATTTATATTACAGAAAATGGTAAGTGATATTTTGATGAGTTATTATAATATCATTGTTGTTTGAATTATTCGATCCATAAAAAAATTTGAATATTGTTTACAATTTTTCTTTATGTAAAATCATTTTTAGGATGGAGCGATAAAAATAATGATTCAAAAACTTTGGAAGAAAACCTTAATGATGTCGATAGGTTGGAATACCATCAGCTGCATCTTCAAAGTCTTTCAAAAGCTATTTCGTAAGTCACATTCTTCTCATCAACTGATTAATCTAGTTTCTCCTTCAGTAGTTAATATTTTCATAAAATTTAATTTGAACTTTATTTAATTGTATCTATTAAGACTTGAACCAATAAATTTTACTATGGTTAAAATAAAGTTATTATTTGGGTATTAATAATTTTGTCACAAATTTAGGGAAGATGGAGTGGATGTCAAGGGCTATTTTGCATGGTCGTTGTTGGACAACTACGAATGGAATATTGGATACAAAGTTAGATTTGGTTTAGTTTATGTTGATTATCATCACAACTTGACAAGACACCCAAAGGATTCGGCTCTATGGTTTAAGGAATTTCTTTTTCTCAATTCGGTACTTGACGACGAAGAGTTAGTCGCCCGTGACAAATAATACTCACTTGACATAAACTGGTTGCAGTGATGTTCCGATTTTAGTATTGGCATACCCGAGTAGCATTAATGAATAACAACCGGGTTATATATGTTCCTCCGCTGAACATACAATGTAAAATAAAAGAATATATATGTGAACTATGGATTTAAATCGATATTTTTCTTGACCAATTCATTATAGTCCTTGTGTCTGAGTAGTGTTTACTTTCCAAGAAAATTTACAAGGGAAATTTCATTAATGAATTATATTATGGATCACTCAAACAAAAAATATCAGAAGTTTTTCCAAAGAAAAAATATGTGATGGTAAAGGATAACTAAAGGGAATTTTTGTTTCAAAATCCACCACAATGTGGTTGATAAGTGAAAAACAATAAGACGTAACTTTGAGAAAGAGAGGCATTTTCTTGAAACAAACACAGGAAATAACTTATTGATAAGGATTATTGAATTTATATAAGTTCGAAAACTTCCAAAATTCACACCAACTAATACATTCCTGGCATATTTTTGTAGTGAAATGTGTTTTATTCTCTATATATATCTATGCACACACACCCAGAAGTATTATCTTCAAGAGGGTTTCCATTTTGCAGTCTTTTTTTCTCCTTCTGGTGGGATTAAGGATGAAGGGCAGTTCATTTTTTTGCTTGGCTGTGCAAATGGAATGTGTCCAAACTTAGATTTACACATTTTATTTGAAATCCATTAATGATCAAATGCAAATAAATGGGGTTTTGTCGCATGTACTTATAATACAATTAGAAACATAGGTCCTTCTTTCTCTCTGTACGTTTCTGCAGAAAAAGTACCCTCTTACACATGGTCATGGCGTCAGTTGTCATGAGCCCAAAAAAGTTTTCAACCAGAAAAACTTTCTAGGACCATACTTATTATTGTATTATGGTCGATGCTTTAGATCTGGGTTGTCTTTTAGGTTTTGATAAATTTTGCGGATCCCATGTGGTTTGTACTACTTGCTTCTCATTATCAGTAAGGTTAATTTTATTTTTCACAAAAGAAAAAAAAAACTTATAATTGCGATTTCTTCGTGCATGATTCACGCTTTCAACTCAGTAGATTTATATATAAAAAATGTGTTAAAATCTAAATAATTAATCGAGTAATTTCTTATCAGTTTAATCTTTTGAAATAATCAACTCAATCAATTATTTAAGAGAATTAATAGTATATTATTACAAAATAAATTTACTAGATTAAAAGAAAAAATTTGCTGCATATGGGAAACTTATCTATTACTTATTTTTGGTGGCGGCTTATGATAAATATGTGCAAACACTTTGATATTCTCTCTAGTTGCATGTTTAGGTTTGAGGTTTGACCGCGCATGCCTTCCATGTTTTCGTAATTTCTTTCTTTCAATCTTAACTTTGAAGATTCATGGATGCCGTTTCAATTTTATCAAAATCACAAGTGTATATATTCTCTGAACTTTTACTATTAACTCATATATCCTCACGCATGTACAATATAAATATAAATTTTTGCATGTTTCACGTTTATAACTTTCATAAGCACTTAGACATTAACCATAAGCACTTATGGCTCTTAATCCTGTGTATTTTGCATTAAAACTGCTAGTCCTAGTAAGCTTCTTCGCTCTCACTGAGCAAAGAAAGCTATCAGATCGAAGTTATAATAACTTGCAGCTTCCAAGGTCACCATGGTCAAGATGTAACGATCCAGAAAATGACTTCACTCGTGAATGCTTTCCCGACGATTTCATTTTTGGCACTGCCTCAGCATCCTATCAGGTATACATTTTTTTAGACTAAATATCTATATATTCATCACATATATATATATATATATATACCTTTCAAACTCAACTTCTTGTGTGTGTGTGTGTGTGTGTGTATAGATATATTACATCCTCTGGATATGTGTCAGCCGCATGCAACTACGTACATAAATATATTTTGCACATTCAATTAAATGCATAATATTCTTCCACTAATGATCAATGGAATTAAGTGGACTGACTGTTTTCCCCTTATTATATTTACCTTTTTTTATAAATATTATATATATATATATGTACAAATGTACATGTAACACTCTGCGTACGTCCTGTGATTTCATTATGAAGGGGCAGTCCTGGAAGGTGGCAGAAATTCGAGTATTTGGGACTATTTTTCACACAAATATCCAGGTTTGATCTCTCTATCATCTCAGTCTCATACATATGTCAGTAACATTAATATTAAATAACAAAACTATTTCAACATTTACAAAGAATTAATGAATTATATATCTTTTTAACCTTGCAGAAAGAACCAACTGCGGTAATGGAGATATAGCACTCGATTTTTATCACCGTTATAAGGTATATACATATATATGTGTGTGTGTTTCTTTGATATGATATTTGATTTGCAATTTCCATCTCTAAGTACATTTAAGTTTAAGATAATTCCAAAAATATGCAGGAAGATATCCAATTAATGAAGGATTTAAACATGAATGGCTTTCGATTCTCAATCTCGTGGTCTAGAATATTACCCGGTAAGCATAGTTAACTACAACTATTTCGGAGGCGATAGTGCAAATAATAGTCATCCCAATTTGAACTCATGACTGCTTATTATTTCTTTTATTTTTCTCAACTTATATATATACATATATTTAGGTGGAAAATTAAACAAATGAGTGAATAGAGAAGGCGTTCAATTCTACAAGGACCTCATTGATCTCATAAAAAATGGTGAGAATTCCAAGTTCTCGATCCCAAAATTTTAAATTATGATTTGATATATATTGATATTTTTTATTCGAAGTATGTATGTGAATACAATATGCTGGACTTACCCCTATGGCCACTATCTTCCATTGGGATCTTCCTCTAGTTCTCGAGAGGAGTATAAAGATTTTTTAAATCATAATATTGGGATCTTCCTCTAGTTCTCGAGGAGGAGTATAAAGATTTTTTAAATCGTAATATTGTGTAAGTTTAAAAATTATTATTATTTCAATTTAATTTACTGTACAACTAAATGATTGATATACCTATTTCTACATAAGATATTATAAATTTGAATTAAATTTATTTTTATGTATCATCATTTAAAGATTATATTTTGTTGTATTTTGATTAATGTCTATATATATATCCTAATTATTGAATGCATAAATTTTAATTAAAAAAATTTAATTCTCGAGAGAAGAAAATAGTTCGTTCTTTTATTAAGCGTTTACTAAACCTAAATAAATATAGACATTAATCAAAATACAACAAAACATAAATTATGTTTTGTTGTATTTTGATTAATGTCTATACATATTCTAGTTATTGAATGCATAAATTTTAATAAAAAAATTTAATTCTCGAGAGAGAAAATAGTTCGTTTTTTTATTAA